GTGCATTGTTCGACAAAGTCAAGAATCTCAAGCTAGTTTGGTTAAAAGTCGGGATAGCACCGGTTAACCGATTGTCTGGCAAATAAAGCAGGAGCAATCGGCTCAAACCGACGAACGAAGGAGGGATGGGTCCCGCAATTCCGTTACCGGACAAAACGACGACTTTGAGCCGGTGCATGGAGGAGAGGCTGGCCGGAATCTCGCCGGAGAAGTTGTTGTCGTTGAGGAAGAGTGATTTGAGGTTCGCTAGGCCGGAGAGCGGCGGGATTTCGCCGGAGAGCGAGTTCTGTTTGAAGCTCAAAACTCGGAGTTGGTCCAAAAGATTGAGGCTTTGACCGTCTAACGTGCCGGTCAAGTTGAAACCCTCCACCACCAGCTTTGTGACTCTGCCATTGAGGCAGTGCTTGACACCTTGCCAGGTGCAAACATGGCTTCCCGTTGACCATTGAAGCTTGGTCAAAGGGTCAATTGAAGCCCTTAGAGATAACAGAGCCTCTGCATCTCCTGATTTTGCTTGTGGGAGTGTGGTCAACACTAACAAGAATGATGAAAACAAGAAGAAGACAAATGCAGCAGCATCCATTGATGAACTCCCAAAAATAATTAAAATTAAAATAAAAAACAAGAACTTTAAAAAAATGGAATCTTGAAGGTAAAAATATGAGCTTGAAATTAGAGTGTATCTAAAGATTTCTTCTTGATTTGGTTCCCATAATTAGCAAAGACTCAATCTTTTGTTAAAATTTAGAAACCCTCTTCATCAACAATAAATTAAAATTAAAAAAAAAAAAAGAAGAAACCCTAGACTTTGACTAGATTAAAATTTGCTTCACCAGAGAGTTTTCATCAAGAAATAGTAATATAGCAAAGAGACAATAAATGGAAGCTCATCTACTCACTGAGCATTGCACTAATGGTGGTTCGCCCCCTTCTCTGTGAACTCTCTCTCTCTATTTCTTGTTTCTCTCTCTAGAAAAATAAAGAAAAGGTGGGTAATTGGGCATTTCTTGAAATATTTGCAGAGGGACACATGGCTGAAGGCTGGAGATTCACATGCAAGCAGCCCACTTCATATTACAGTTTTCGGAATCTTGAAAAAACATTCAACACAACTCCAACCAATCAGAATACACCTTTTGCAAAGCTTGCCCTAAATGCAGCTACTATTTTCTTGAAACTAAGATTTTCTTTCTTATAAGCAGGAAAAGAGTACTATTTGAATAAAACTACATAATAATTCATCCATTATATTAACGTGACAGTTCACATGAGAGAGAGAGAGAGAGAGAGAGAGAGAGTGAGGAGAGAGGAGAGAGAGAGAGAGTTTAGTTACCAATAAACAAGAAAGTAGTGAAGAAATTGAAAATTGACAGCAGAAAATGCAATAAATGAATTTAGGTAAGGGGACACGGGGTTTCAGTACTTTTTTATTGACATGACTAAGCATTTAAGATTGTCTTGAAAAGCATGAAAATTTGTTGTAAGTAATACTATGATCATAATTCATACATACATATATTATGAGAACTTGCACCTCCACTCATTTTCATGCTAGCTACTTATCAGTTATCACAACTCAACCGTGTGATTTTTATTTTTTATTTAGCTAGTCTTTATTAAAGTAGAGCAAATTACGGCATGGTTAAATTACGAAAAAACTACTCTTGTTTTGATAATTACATCCACCCTCTCCTTTTAAATATTTTTATATAAAATTTATATAATTCGTTTATTTATCGAACCAAATCGTGTATTTAGTTCGATAAAAATGGTACGAACATCTGGAGGTTTAGAGGAGTTTTTTCGTAAAATAATACATAGTTGAGGGATGACCGTAATTACGAAAACAGGTGAGAGTTTTTCATAATTTGAGGGGTAAATGTAATTTATAATTTGCCCTTTAAATTATAAAGATTTTAAAATGTATGATCTTATATTTTTATTTTTATTTAAGA